CTCCCCTTTTTAAAATCAATAAAAAGCATATTCTCAGGTGAGGAAAAATAAAATAAATTTTAAAAAGAGTGAGAGAGAAGATGGGGCTTTGTATTCTTCTGCCCACCAGAGCCTCCCCAGCCCCGCGCCCGCCCAAAGAGAACAAAGACTAGGTCCAGTTCTGTCCCTCCCTGAAGGGGCCGGCGGAGGGCCAGGCCACCTCCTGAGTTTCCCTCCCTCTGCGGGGAAAGTTCTACCCCACCTCTTTCCAGGCAGAGGCAGATGGGGGTAGGGATTCGAGAGGAAGTGTTAAAGTGCCATTGAAATGCTAGCCTTGGTGGGTGGGAGTCTCCATATCACTGGCATTCCAGCCCCATCACCGTCCCTGCTTCAGGCTCCAACTTTAACCCTTCAGTTTCCAGATCCAACCAAATCCTGGTGGACCAGGGGACCTAAGAGAGGGGCTGGGGCCTCCTGGCCTCTATCCAAGGAGACCTGAGGGCGGGAAATGCATTCTTGTCTAGGTGCCCTAGGAATCTGTCCTCTGCCACACCCACCCCCTGCTGGTCTCTCCAGTTTGGCGACAAATTTTCCCCCTTTTACTCTCCCTCTAGGCAAGCGCCTTATCAAAGAGAGGAAGAATGGGTGTGTCCAGGAAGGAAGCTGAAGGGCCAGGCCAGGCTGGAGGTACCTCCCGCAGGGACTGGTTTCTGGAGGTGTGGGTAAAAGTGGGGGGATCTTTATCATCTGAGCATCCATCTCCCATGCAGCTGGCCAGTCCTTAGCAGTGTGGGGTCTCCCCCTGCTTGAGTGTAGAGATTTGGGGCCAGAGAACTAAGATCTAAAAAAATTAGGGTCCTGCCCTAACCGGTTTGGCTCAGTGGATAGAGTGGGCCAAAGAACTAAGATCTAAAAAAAATTAGGGTCCTCTTATTGCCTTCTTGGGGCACTACCATTACCTGGAGTGCGCAGCACCACACGAGGCCCCGTGACAACGTTAAGGGTTTGCTTGTTTGTTCGTTTATTTGTTTTTAATATATTTTATTGATTTCAGAGAGGAAGGGAGAGGGAGAGAGTGATAGAAATAACTCTCTATCCCTCTCGCTTTCTCTGTAAAAAAAATCAATAAACTGTATTTAAAATAAAAAAATAAAATAAAAAAATTAGGGTCCTCTTATTGTCTTCTTGGGGCACTACCATTACCTGGCGTGCACAGCACCACACAAGGCCCCATGACAACGTTAAGGGTTTGCTTGTTTGTTCGTTTATTTTATCCATTGAGCCACACCAGCCCGGGGAACGTTAAGGATTTAGAGCTGCCTGTGGAACTGGTGGGCCCTGGAAGCAAGGCTGACCCACTGTCCCTGTTTCCCCAGGACGCAGCACTCAGGGCTCAAACCAGAATGTCCCAGGCAAGTCAGGATGAGTTGGTCACCTTATGGCCAAGGCAGGAGGCAGACTTGCTCTGGGTGTGGGGACCACAAAGGCCCTGTGCTGGCTGCCCAGGATGGGAGGCCTTGTGGGCCGGTCAGTGGGCCCTCCCAGAGACCCCTGCTTGCTGAGTCCGCCTGACACCTGCCCAAACCTGTGGGGCTGGATTCCAGGCAGCCCTGCAGACACCCTAGAGCAGTGGTTCTCAACCTTCCTAATGCCGCGACCCTTTAATACAGCTCCTCATATTGTGGTGACCCCCAACCATAAAATTATTTTCATTGCTACTTCATAACTGTAATTTTGCTACTGTTATGAATCGTAATGTAAATATCTGATATGCAGGATGTATTTTCATTGTTACAAATTGAACATAATTAAAGCATAGTGATTAATCACAAAAATAATATGTAATTATATATGTGTTTTCCGATGGTCTTAGGCGACCCCTGTGAAAAGGTCATTCGGCCCCCAAAGGGGTCGAGACCCACAGGTTGAGAACTGCTGCCCTAGAGGGAGCCTACAGAAAGCTTGCTTCTATTTGCCTTTCTTCTCAGACACCCCCTCTCCCCACGCAATGTGAGGCCTGGGAGGCTGGAGGAGCTGGACAAGCCCACCCCGAGATTCCCTGTGTCCATCACAGCCTGCTGGCATCAGCACCCCCCTCCCAGTTCTCAGGCATCCAGAGTCAGCCCCACTTACTGGACAGCACTTCCCACGGCCCTGTGGGGTGGTACGAGACAGGTACCAGGGGTAGAGGAAGCCCCAACCACAGTAGCTCATTTGCAGACCCACCGATGAGCTCTAGCCTCAGTCTCCCCATTTTAGGGGTTCTTAAGCTTTTTTGGGTCAACCATCCCTTTGCAAATCTGATGAAAGTATAAACCTCTCTTAAACTATCCTAAAGAGCAATGCACCAATCTGAAATTAGAATCATTTATAGCCCTGGCCGGGTGGCTCTGTTGGTTGGAGCACCGTCCAGATGGGCCAGGGTTTTGGGTTTGATATCTAGTCAGAGCGCATACAGGAGTCGCTAATGATGGCGTGAATGGGTGGGACAGTGGTAGATGTCTCTCTCTCAATCTTCCTGTCTCTAAAATCAATTTAAAAAATTTTAAATAATTATTTATAAATAGAGCCCCATTGAGCAGATGAGGAAGCACCCAGCGCCCTCCCCTCCCCCAGGGTTGTAGAGTGGTGCAGGGACCAGGTGTGTGGGGGGTACTCCTAGCCCTCCGGGGCACCTGTTGAAGGGCACTTCCTCCCAAGTGGTCAGGCCTCCGGTCTTCCTCAGGAGGCATGGAAGCGAGAGGCTCCCCCCAGGCGCGGCTGCCTTTGAGAGTCCTCACAACCATCTTGTTAAGTTGGAATTTTCATCAGCCTCCCCCCCACCCCCCACCTCCCTGCCTTTTACACAATAATTCTCAGCACCCAGGGAGGGGCTTAAGAGAGTTCACGGACCCCCCCCCCCCAAAGGAGGGGCTCATGTTTGTGGATCTCAGGAGGTTTCTCAAACGGGTCTTTGACCCAAGGAGGTTAAGGACCTTGACTTTCCAAGATCTGTCCAGGTGGGTAGGGCAGGGTTTGAGCCATGGTCTGTGACTCCCAGGCTGCCCTCCACAAGGGGAGTGCCAGGGCTCCAAGGGGTTTTGAGGAAGAGGGTCTTTCTTTTTTTCCTTTTCTTTTTTTTGGAGTCAAATCTACAAATCCATTGCGAAATTTGAGTTCATTAAGATTTATCCCCATATTTTCTTCTGAAAGTTATAGTTTTACACCTTACATTTAGGTTGTTGGTCCATTTTGAGTTCATTTTTGTCTATGGAGTTAGATAGGGTTCCAACTTCGAGACTTTTCTTTTTCTATTGAAAGATCTTGGCATCCTTGTCAAAAATCAATTGTACATCAATATTTTGGTTTATTTGTGGACATATAATGGTACCCTTTGTGCTACAGAGCTGGCCTCATGACTTCCATAAAATCTAGAAAGACAATATACCCAGCTTTTGACTGGTTAGTTCTTCATGTCATCAATCTCGATAACACATTATGAGAACTACTAATATAAAAATCATTTGACCATGCTTAAAGAAATACTAACAGCCCTAGCCGGTTTGGCTCACTGGGTAGAGCGTCAGCCTGCGAACTGAAGGGTCCTGGGTTCGATTCTGATCAAGGGCACATGCCCAGGTTGTGGGCTCCATCCCCAGTAGGGGGCATGCAGGAGCCAGCCAATCAATGATTCTCTTTCATCATTGATGTTTCTCTCTCTCCCTCTCCCTTCCTCTCTGAAATCAATAAAAATATATTTTATAAAAGAAATACTAAAATATGATATTTGTAGGTAAAGAGCTATAATTTTTGTCTTTCCTTTGCCAGCAGAAATAGCAGGTTGAGCTACTGTGTATTGTGTGTGTGTGTGTATTGTGTGTGTGTGTGTGTGTGTGTGTGTGTGTGTGTGTGTGTTTACCTCCAGCCTGGCTGGTGTGGCTCAGTGATTGAGTGTCGACTCATGAACCAGGAGGTCACGGCTTGATTCCCCATCAGGGCGCAGACCCGCCGGGGTTGTGGGCTGGATCCCCAGTAGGGGGCATGCAGGAGGCAGCCGGTCAATGATTCTCATCATTGATGTTTCTATCAGAGCGTCTTTCTTGAGGATGATGAGGCAGGGTTCAAAGAAACCCGAGTCACCTGGGCCTAACCCCTGTTGCCTTTCTTTGTGGAATCTCACCCAGAGTAATCACTCACTTCCCGTGGGCGTGGGAGGGGTCCTGGGCGTCAGCTCCACCCGGTGCTCTGTCCCTGCCTCTCTCCTTTCACTCCAGGCCCTGAGGGCTCCTCCCCCAGCCCACAACGGGCTCTTTATCCCCGGGCCTCTAGGGACTGCAGCCTGGCCCTCGGTTTCAGTGGAGGGGGTGGAGAGGGCATACCTGGGCTGAGGTAGAAGCGAGGGGGTGGTTTTCTAGGCCGTTGCCTGGACGATGCCACCTGAGCTGGGCGCCAGGCACCTGTCGCCTAGGAAACGGTGCGGGCGGGGCCCCTCCCCCTGGGAGCCGCCAGGGCCCTGGGCTGAGACAGGAGGCAGATCGAATTCCGGAGAGACCTAGCGCTGGGTAGGGGCGGGTGGGGTTCTCGATACTGGAAAAGCTGGGGTACCCTTGCATCATCATGAAATGAACCAGCCCGGAAGAGCGAAGACGGCGAGGGAGGGGTGGTTGGGGTGGATTTCTTCTTCCTCTTTTTTTTAGAGAGAGAGAGGATGGGAGAGAGATCTGTTGTTCCACTCAGTTATGCATTCATTGGTTGATTCTTGCATGTACCCTGACCGGGGATGGATCTCCAAGCCTTGGCATATGTGGAGGACACTCAAACGAAATGAGCTACCAGGCCAGGCCTCACCATTCCTTTGTCTCTGGGTTCCCACAGGCATGGATGTTCTTCTTTCCTCCCCTGTTTCTTCCGGGTCATGGTATGCTCTTTCCCCATCCCCGACACTTC